ACATTTCCCTCCTGCGAGCACTCGCAGTGCTGACACTGGGGCTTCGCTTTCTCTCTGCAGACAGAGACAGAGGACGAGAAGCGGCGCTTTGAGGAAGGGAAGGGCAGGTACCTGCAGACCAAAGCCAAGCGGCAGGCGCAGATGCAGCAGGCTGCCCAGCAGTGACCTGCCCTCCACCCTTGCTGCTGGCACCCGCCAAACATCCAGGTTGTTCCCGTTTGTGTCGTGTCTGGTCCATGCCTCCACTCGCCCCTGCCGCCGCTGGCACCGCTGCTTCGCTGCTGGTGGGCTCAGTGCCGCACACTTTGTGCTTCAGGTGGCACTGAAAGCCCCCGGGAGCCCTCCCAGGCGCTTGCCATCTGCTTTCGGAGCTGTTGTCACTGTTTGACTCCCCATACCGGAGCGGGATGGAGGCGTGCGGGGCACACGGGGCCGTGCGTCCTTGTGCTGCCATGTTCAACTTGCTGGTTTGTCCTACCATGCACACCAAAGCTTTCGCAAGTGCGGCACCGGGACCGCGCTGAATGTCTGTGACATCTCTAGGTAGTTCTGTGTGCACATCTAAGTTATTTACGGAATCCTGTGGCATTAATAAAGTCTGTTTCATTGACTGGAATAAAAGGCTGACACCTTTATTTCAAACAATTGTGCTTTTCCCCACTCCTCCCTCCCCGGGATCCACCCACAGTCCCCAAGTGGTGCCGTGCGCTTCCTGCCCCTGGATGTGCACGTCCCGTGCAGTTCCTGCCGGATATCAAACAATGTTTTCGCTGTTCGGGGGCGGGCAGGGGCTGCCCATGGCGGTGGCGGGCACCGTGCCCGGCAGTGTCCGGGAGCGAAGGGTCCGCGCCGGGGCCGGGGCCGGTGGGACCGGACAGCCCCACCCGTGCCCCGCCCACCGCGCAACTCTCGCGAGAGCCGCGCCCCGCCCCGCCCGGTGGCCCTGTGGCGGCGCTGTTCTCGCGAGAGCGGTGCGCTCGTTTCCCGGGCGACGCGGGCGGGGCGGGGCCGCCACAATGGCGGCGGCGGCGGCGCGGCGGGGCCGGCTGGGCCGGGAGGGCCGCGCCAGCCTCGCCTCCTTCCTGCTTGGCGCCTCGGTGGCGGCGCTGCCGCTACTGCTCGGCTCGTCCCCCGCTCTACTGGCCGCCCCCGGCCTCCGCGGCCGTCTGGCGCTCGCCCTGCACGTGGCCGGCGTGAACGCGGCGCTGCTGCTGCTCTACCCGCGGCCACTCTACAAGGTTCGGAGGCGGCCCGGGGGAGTGGGGCGGGGGGCGACCGCAGAGCGGCCGGTGCCGGTGCCGGTGCCGGTGCCGGTGCCGGTGCCGGTGCCAGGGGGCGGCCGTCGGGAGCCGCCGGGTTCGGGAAGCGGCGGCGGCAGCGCATTCTCCCCTTCCTGTGCTTGCAGATCGCCGTCCGGGCCTGTTTCCTGGGCTTTGCCTTCGGCTGCGGGGTACTGCTGAGCGCCGGCCGCTCCGCCTGGCGCCACTTCGGATGGTAAGGGCCGGGCCGGGCCGAGCAGACGCGCTGCCCGGCCCTGCCAAACCTATCCTCCCTCCCTCCCGCCGCAGGTACATGTGCTCCCTCTCCCTGTTCCACTACTCGGAGTACCTGGTGACAGCCATCAACAACCCACGCAGCCTCTCGCTGGACTCCTTCCTGCTCAACCACAGCTTCGAGTACAATCTGGCTGCCCTGTCCTCCTGGGTGGAGTTCACGCTGGAGAAGCTCCTCTTCCCAGGTCAGCCACCCTGTCCTTCCCTGGCTCTGCCTGGCTGCATGTGGCTTGCCTGTGTCCCACCTGTCCCTTAGCAAAGTGTAGGTGACCCCCAGCTCACTGTCCCGTGCTAGTCCTGGAGCAGCTTTACCATGACCTTAATCCCTCTTTGCTCAAAGCCTCTCGGGTTCTGCCCTGGAGGGCACTGGGTATCTTCCCTTTGCTCTGAGAGGCCAGGCCAGGGGGTCTTCAGCCCTTTTCATGCCTTACTGGTACAAGAATAACACTTTGGGTACAGCTGGGTATTGTCTTTTGACCGGGAATAAAATCCAACTGGTAAAAACTGTTGCTGTTTGCCCAGCGTGGGGCAAAGTGGTTGTGTCCTTATGCTTGTTTTTGAGAGAGGGAAGATGTTGCCCTTCCTTGTTTCATAACAGCCCCAGCATGCCCTTGTCTGCTTTGTGCTGGCTTTGCTCAGCCCCTAAATCCAGGCCCTGCCGGGTAATCTGTGCTGACGCTGCGCTGACACCGGGCAGGGGATGCTGCTTTTATCTCTTTGCTGGGCGGCCGCTGCTGCCACACTTTGTGCTTCAGGGTGGGGGGAAAAGCCCACCCACCGAGCAGCCCCCCTGCCCCCCCACAAGAGCTGTGCAAACCCGCTGTGCTCCTTCCTCCCTGTCCACACAGAGCTGAAGCAGATCACCTGGCTGAGCACCGTGGGGCTGCTGATGGTGATCGTTGGGGACTGCCTGAGGAAGGCGGCCATGCTCACAGCCGGCTCCAACTTCAATCACATCGTGCAGAACGAGAAATCCGACACCCACACCCTCGTGACGAGCGGGGTGTACGGGTGGTTCCGGCACCCGTCCTACGTGGGATGGTTTTACTGGAGCATTGGAACACAGGTACCATATCTAACATGGTACACATACCTTCGTGTCATGGCCCAGGTCTTTGTTCTCAATGCTGGCCACGCCGTGATGGGTGGCCTGGGCACTGATTCTGCTGCCTCCCATGGGCACACAGGGAACAAGGAATCCCTGAGTGCCCTGCCTCATGCAATCTTTGGGAAGATCCCATTGCCTTAATTTGCTCAGTGCAGTAAGCAGGGGTCGGTGGGCTGGAGTTTGAGCTAAAACCCCCTTGGAGGCCTGAGATGTGATCTGCTGCTGGTCTAAAGCTAGTGTCCAGAGTTTCCTGTATCCATGTGGCCAAAATGCCTTCTGTGAGCAGTGAGACTCAACCTGGCTTCTGCCAAACACCAGTCCTGTGCCGGAGGGCAAGGAAACTCCCTCTAAGAGTGCTCGGGGCCCCAGCCAGAGGGTCAGCTCTGGCCAGCTGTGGTTGAGCTGTAGCTCAATGCTGCTGTAGCCATGTGTTCTCGTGGCTGGCTGGGAGCTGGCACTGGGTTGTTTCTCTGGAGAGGGACCGTAAGGGTGGCACACGGAGCTCTTGAGAGCCAGGGCAGCCAGAGCCGCCTGCTGCCTGCACGCCACTGCCTTCATTCTGGGGACAAATTAGTATTTATGAAGTGCCACAAGGGTTGTTGGGAGCTTTCCTTTGGAGAGCATTTAGAGCCTCTGGCAATGTTAGCGGAGCCGGATGAGCTGTGGGGACAAGGCAGCCTCAGGCTCTCGAGGGGTGACTCATTAGCGGCCTCTGTTCCAGGTGTTGCTCTGCAATCCCATCTGTGTGGTGGGCTATGCACTGGCGTCCTGGCGCTTCTTCAGGGAGCGAATTGAGGAGGAGGAGATCACACTCATTCACTTCTTTGGAGAAGAGTACCTGGAGTACAAAAGGAAAGTGCCATCGGGTCTCCCTTTTATTAAAGGAGTCAAATTGGAACTGTAATGCAGGTGAAAACCAGACTGGCTGAGCAAATGCCCAGCTCCTGCTGTGCCCGGTGCCTGTGTGGTATCGGTGTCGGGATGTGCCTGTTGGTATTTCCCAGCCACCCAGAAGGAGCTGGTGGAGGGCTGTGGCACGGGGCAGCCTCCCGGGACTTTTGCAGATCAGAAGCTCGTTCCTCCTCCTCAAGATCAGCCCTCCATTGCACATTCAGGGATCTTCCAGATAACTTAGCCTGTAGCGACCCTAAAGAGAATGAATTGTCCTGCCTGCAGCAGCTGAATTGTCCTGGAATGCTCTGGACCAATTCTACTGGAGAGCAGCACTGCCCTCTGGGCCCCAGGCAGAGGAGGCACTGGGCAGCAGATTGTTCCTGTTGCATAATTCGATTTTAAAGCTTTCTGACCTCGTGAGCCCAGTGCTGCAGCTTTAATCTCCTCGGGCCCTACTCCTTGAGCTGGCACTGGGGTGGCCATGAGAGCAGCCTCCAGCCCTGCCCGCCCTCAGAGTGCTGGCACTGTGGCACCACTCGGCTCTCTCTAGGCCTCAGCGTCTGCAGGGAGAGATCCAAGCACCTCTGAGCCTGCTCCTTTTCCCTCAGCTGCTGCTGCTGCGGATGTGGAGTCATCGCTGCAGCCACTGCCTCCTGCCGCCACCTCTGTCCCCTCTTCCTGCTTTCAAATCACGCTGCTTCCTATCCTGCCAGGCCACCTCTGTCCTGCAGAGATCCCAGGATTTGGGGTTGGGAAAGAACCGCAGCTGCCAGGCTTGCCAAGGGCTTTAGCACCCGAGATCCTCACCTGCTCTTTTGGGCAAAAGCCGGGATGTCGGGGCAAGTAGGAGATGCTCCTAGGGAAATCTCCAACCGGGAGAAGGGTTGGGCTAGCTAATGCTCTTTTAAATGTGACCATTTTGAAATGGTTCCCACTGAGCTGTGTGGCATAACTTATTCTGTCGTTATATACCAAAGAGGTTCACTGTTTTCTTGAGTTCTACATTATTCTTCCTCGCTGGAATGGAAATGAGTTGCTTGTTAGTTCACGCCTGGGGCTTGTGGTGTTCCGTGGGGAAGGCGCTGCGGTATGGCTCAGGAAGGGGCACTGGTGGGAATGGCTTGGGTTTGGGCTTGGGTTTTCTTTTTTTATAAAAAAAAACAAGAGAAAACATTGCCAACTTCTGTCTGATAATTTTTGTAATGTCTCTCGAGGTGCTGGTGGCATGGAAACTGGAATCCTTACTTTATAATTCCTGATGGGTTTTCGGAACACTCCTTGTGGCGCTGAGGCACGACTGTGTGTGTTCCTGTCTCTGCCCTGCATCGGCGATTGGTATCTACCCCCCCTCCCCCCCAGTTTGCAAATGTTGTTGTTTTAGGAGCAGCTGGGCACTCCAAGCCAGCAGATCCCTTCTGCTAGCACCGCAGAACCACGCGGACACAAACACTTGCGCCCTTTTATTTCACTCCAACACACAAGGGAGAGCACAAAGACAATTAGTTTTTCAGAACTTGGTTCCCCTGAGGCTTTTGGATGCACTGGTGCCTGGCCTGTTTCCTGCCCTGGCTCATGGCACAGGGTGAGAGGAGCTGGTCAGCAGCCTGGGCACAGCTCTGCCCAGTGGCTCTGCCATGTGCCCAGTGCTGGGGTCTACGGTGACGGCTCTTTCTGGGCAGTGCTCTCGGCCCCGCTCTTCTGCTGGCCCCTGCAGCAGTCTTTGCTTTTCGGGGAGGGGTCTCCAGGGGTGCCACCAGGTGCGCAGCCCTCCCCGGGGCTGGCTGGAGCCCCCTCCTTGCCACTACGCGAGGCATCCCTGGGGAAGGGAAGGCACCTTGGCAGTGTCATTGTCTGGGAAAGGGCACAGGGAATTTGATAGTCAGGCACTTGCTGTCACCTACCTTGGCCCTGCTTCGCTGTTATCGCAGATCTTGAGCAGCATCTGGGCCTGTTCCTCCTTGGGCTCCCGGGGCTCCTGCAGCCTGCAGCAGGATGGGTGTGAGCCATGGCTGTGTCCCCTGCTGGCCCTGAAAGCCCCCGCGCCCCTCACCTGGGCTCCAGCCGCTCCTTCACCTTGGCGATGGAGCGGACGTAGGGCACGATCTGCTTGGTGATGGTGCTCAGGCAGCTGTTCTCCTGCCTCAGCTGCAGCAAGTCATGGAGCTGGGCTGGGGGTGAGAGAAGTGGGCTAGGGGATGGCCGCTCCCCAGCACTGGCACAGGGTGCTCAGGGAAGGGGCGTGAGGTCACCGGTACCTTCATAGATCTCCTGCTCGTTTGCCACCCGCTGGTAAGTCTCCTCCCAGACCTGGAAGGAGGAGAGGGAGCTGGGCAGTGTGTGGAAGCGTGGCACGAAGGGGCCCTGCTCTGCCAGGGACGCACCAGCCGTACCTCCTCGAAGACGCTGCGCATCATCTCCACGGCAGAGTAGTGAGCTGCGATCTGCACGTCCATCTGCAGGGACTTCTGCAGGATCTCACTCATGATCTCTGACTTGATGAGTGAGTGGTGCTTGGTGAGGTCACGGTGCAGCTCCTGGACCTGGTCCTTGAGGCCCTGGATCTCCATCTGCAGCATCTGCAGTGCAGGGGGGCAGGGCCACGTGAGCAGTATGACCCGGCCCGTCCTGCCCTGCCCCATCCTGCTCCCACCTGTGCTCCCTACCCGGTAGGTGTTCTCGTAGTTGCGGCAGTGCTCGGCGAAGGGGGTCTCACGCCCCTCAGCCAGGAGCACCTTGGTGCTGATGTACCGGTGCATCGTTGGCTTCCTCACCATGGGGCTGGTGGACATTTTGTCACTTGAGGGGGGACAGCTGGGCACCATGAGGGTCTTGGAGCATTGGCCACCAGGGAGCCTGCACGGAGAAGTGACAGTGACACGCTGCAGGTGAGCAGTGGTGGGGGAGAGGTGCCAGGGGCCACGCCGTCAGCTCAGTTCCAGCTCAGCCCCACTGCCCCTCAAGCCCTGCTAAGCGTGGGGATGTGCCAGTCCCCTATGTCCCTTCCCTCACCCGAATGCATGGGCTTAATCAAAGGTGCCTTACGGTGCCCCAAAAATCAGGTTTCTGTGGGCTGCTCTCCCAATCCCTGTGGCTTTGGGACCAGCTGCAGCAGGGAGAAGGCAGGAGCTGAGGCCAGCATGCTCCTGTTTCTAAAGGGCAGGATGCAGCTCACTCCCTCACTACCAGTACCTCCTGGCCCCTTGGCAGGTGTCACTGCCCCTGTGTCCCCTCCATCCTGTGGCCTCCCCGTGCTGCCCGCCGCCATCGGTCCTACCGTGCAGCGCCGCGCTCCCCCCGCCCGTGCTGGGGCCAGCAGCCCCCAGGAGCTCAGCCACTCTGCGGCACCGAGCCCGGCCAGGGGTGAGGAGTGGTCCCCATCGGGCAGCAGTGCCCGTCTGTCCTCTCCGGCCAGGAGGGCCTGGCAGGGCCAGTGCTGCTGTGACATCAACAGGCCTAAATATATCCCGGACGAGGAACGGCCGGGCACTTCCCTGAAATTCTGATAAAAATAGTGGTGGACAAAGAGGCTGTGGCACAGCGGGCGGGCCAGCGAGCAGGAGCTGGCCCCAGTGCAGCACCCGTGGAGCAGGGGCACAGCCCTCCAGGGACCGCAGCAGGGGCCGGGCTGGGGAACGGGGTGAGGCTCACCCAGGCCCTCAGCTGCCAGCTCTGCTGCTATCCCACTTCCCAGAAGTGTTACTTGAAGCCCTGTTGCCTGTTGTTTATCAGTGCAGTTGTGCCCGTGCTGTCCCCGTGCCACCACTGAGGTGATAGGCTCAAGGGCAGCAGCTTGGCGTGGGATGCCAAGGGCGCTGAGCAGCACGGCGCGTGGCAGGGGACACAGCGGCACGTGTGCCCTGGGTATGATCCTAGCACCTCACATGTTTGTGCCAGCGATGCCAGGACCCATGCCACCGGCACTGCCCACCACGGAGCGACGGGGGCTGAGCATCAGGAGGGGCTCCAGGCAGCGGGCAAACTCTGCCCGGTACTCGCTGTTGATCTGGGGGACGAGATGGGGTGAGCAGGGCTGGGGCCAGGGCAGAGCCTGCAGCTGGCACTGCCTGCAGGGTGCTGCAGGCAGGGACCCGGCCTGGAACGGGTGGCAGGTCTCCTCTACCTTGCTGGTCTGGGCCGGCCGCAGGCGGTGTGGCAGCTTGACAATCCTCTGCAGCCTCTCCATCAGTTGCTGAAAAGCAGCGGTGAGGCACAGTGAGGGGTGCCCAGTGCCCTGTCCACGAGCTCAGCACTGCCACAGGATGCTCTGGCCACCCCAAAGTACTGGCAACACTCACATAGCCCAGGTCCAGGAACTCAGCTTTGTTGGCAGAGCTCAGGAAGGCCGAGCAGGTCACCAGGTGGACCTGTGTATGTGAGTGGGTCTGTCACTGTCCAGCTCTGGGGGTCAGGACATCCCTGCCCGATGCAGGGCCCTACCTGCAGGGTGGGCAGCAGGGAGGCGAGGTGTGCAAGCTGCTCCTTGAATGCCTTCTCCTTCTCCTCATGCTGGCTGCAGCAGAGTGGGGCATGGCACAGCCTCTCCACGGCACCTGGGAGCCATGCAGCCCCCCAGGCACCCCAACACACTCTGGGAAGGGGAGACACCTGTGGGAGGGGGCTCAGCCTGTGGTCCCTCACCTCTGCACAGCTTTCAGAAGTGTCTTCTTCCTCTCAGAGAGCTGCTCCTGCAAACAGCCCAGCCACCATGGGTCCTGCAGCCACCCCAGTCCCCTCCCGCTGCCTCAGCTCTGCCGCGCCCACAGGCTGAGCACCCTGGGCGCAGGGTAGCCCGTGCTGCCTCACACCTGCATGCGGCCGAAGAGGGAGTTGATGGCCGCCTCCTCCTCGCTGGCACTGTTGCGCACCTCCTCGATCATGGCCTTGAGCAGGACGATGGCTTCGCGTGTGGAGCTCTGCAGCTCCTTCACTGCCTGCCCGGGGCGATGGGGCAGCTGCAGCGTGGGGGGAGGCACCGCTCCCCTCACCGCCCCCCGTGCCCCCCGGTCCTGCCCACCATCACCGCCTGGTCCAGCCGCTGGCAGCCCTGCATGTACGCCGTCTCGATGTCGATGCAGTGTGCCCGGCTCTCCCTGCAGACACGGCCATCAGGGCACGTAGTGGGACAGGGCACGGGGTGGGCACGGGGACAGGGCCACTCACCCCTGCATGTCCCTGAAGCAATTGATGCAGAGCATGGACTTCTTCTCGGTGGAGAACATGATGTAGGGCTCCTCGTGCAGCGCTGCGGGGGACAGGGGCATGGTGCAGCCTGGCACGGCACGGTGCTGCACGGCACGGCACGGGACAGCCTGGCACGGCACTCACGGCACTTCTTGTGGATGTCTTTCGTGCGCTTGGAGAGGGACACGATCTCGTGGCGGGCAAACATCCTGGCATGGTGGGTCTCCTCACGGCAGGGGGTACACAGGGGCTGCCCGCAGGTGTTGCAGAAGTACATGGTGTCCACCTCCTGAGTGAGGGGACACAGCTAGTGGTGAGCACGGTCCCGGTGGGGGTCCTCTGTCCCCCCTGCCTGCCCACGCCTCTGCCCTCACCGCCTTGGTGCAGTGCCGGTCGCAGTTGGCACACTGCACGTCCTCCTCGCTGTCTGCCGAGCTGTCCACCAGGAACTGCAGCAGCCGGTCCACGGGGGGCAGTCCCGTGCCCCCCCTCACCACCGAGGGGTGCCTGTGGGGACAGGAGGGGCATGGGGACGGAGACGCTCACCCAGGGTGGTGGGACAGCTTTAGGGAGCACGGGGGGCCGTCCCTCACCCGCAGAGTGGGCAGCGCAGGCGGCCGTCGCTGGCGCGGCCTCGCAGGCAGCTGGCACAGAAGTTGTGGTAGCAGTCGAGCAGGCAGGGGTGCTGGTAGGGCTCGTGGCACAGCAGGCACACCAGCGGGTGACAGTTGGCCTTCTCCAGCTCCGAGCAGCTCCCCAGCGGGGAGAAAATGCTGCCTGCCATCTGTGGGACAGAGAGCAGAGCCCCGCGCCCGGGGGGCCGCGCTGGCACCGGGGCACCGGGCACCGTGGCTGCCACGGAGAGAACGAGTGCTGCTGCCCCGGGAGCTGCCGCCTATTTTTAGGTTATGAGCTGCATGGCACGAGGCTGCCCCAAACACGCCCCTTCCCCCGGGGCTGCAGGGCTGGGTGCGATGGTCCCTACAGCGGGGCATCCCCCAGGGTGAGTGTCCCCAGGGCAGGACCATTCCCTGGGTTGGGGTGTCCCAGTGGAGCATCCCCTGCAGGGGAGCATCCCCCAGGCCAGGGGTAGGGGATCCTCCAGGACTGAGTGTCCCCCTGGAGGGAGCATTCCCTGCCCTGGGACGTCCCCTCCAATGGCAGCCCGGCAGTGAGTGCAGCCAGGTGCCCCACACGCTGGAGTCCCCGTCCCCGGGGAGCCCTGGCCAGGTGAAGGTGTTACCTGTCCCCGTCTGTGGGCCGGGCGATCCGAGCCGAGCCGTGCCGCTGCTCCCCGCGTGCGGGCAGGAATGAGAGCGATGCCGGGCACGGCCGACCCCGTGACGTGGGGCCCCTTGGCACTGTCGGGCGGCAGCCACGCCACGGCCCAAAAATAGCCCCGCGCGGGGCCCTGTCAGGGACGGCCCCCGGGGTGTGGAGACACGGAACCACCCAGGCTGCGGGGACATGGGCACCCGCGTGGCCTGGGGATGGCCCCCAGGAGGTGAGGGGCACCCGAGGTGCAGGGGGTCACCCCGTGTCCAGCACAGCCCCGGGATGCGGGGGGGGGTCACCCTGTGTTCACCACAGCCCCCCCGGGATGCAGGAGGGTCACCCCGTGCCCCGCACAGCCCCGGGATGCGGGAGGGTCACCCCGTGTCCCGTACAGCCCCGGGATGCGGGAGGGTGACCCCGTGTCCCGCACAGCCCCCCCGATCACTCCCCCCTCCCGGGCCCGGCCCGCGATCGCCCCCGGGCCCCGCCCTCTCGCTTCGGCCCCGCCCCCTGCCCCGCCCCTCCCGCGGGCGCTGCCCCGCCAGGCAGCACTGTCCGCTCGCGGACGCCGCGCGCGGGAGAGGCCGGAAGCGATCGACGTTCTCGGCGCTCGGCTGGGCCTGGCCGAGCGCTGTTGTGCGCAGGCGCGCGGCGCGTTCTCCCTTTCTGCCCCGCGCGGAGCCAACATGGCGCCCGCGGTGAGTCCGCGCGGGGCCGGGACCGGCCCGGGCCCCTCCGGCGCCGCCCTCACCGCCCCCGCGGCCGCCGGGACACCCCACGCCCCACTCCCAGCTCCCGTCACTCCCCCCGGCCCCCACCAGCCCCAGCCCCGCCGCCTGCTCCGGCCCCGCTCCCCTCCGCGTGGGGCCGGGCTCGGCCCCGCACCTCCCTCGACCCCCCACGCCGAGCGCCGTCCGTGAGGATCGGGGGTGGTGGGTGGCGGGCGACCCTCATCCTAATTCCTCTGCCCTCGGCCTCCATCCGGGCCCGGGCCTTTCCGTCTCCCTCAGCATGGAGCTCGGCCCGACCCCTTCCCGCCGCCCGGGGCCGGTCCCCCACGACTCTCCCTCTTCCTTTTCCTCTCCTTTTCCTTGCCCTTCTCCCTTTCTTTCTCCCCGTGATCCTTTCTCACTCTCTCTTCCCCCTGCAGCAGAAGAAGCCCGTGGCGAAAGGTGGCAAGAAGAAGAAGCAGGTGCTGAAGTTCACGCTGGACTGCACTCACCCTGTCGAGGATGGCATCATGGACGCCGCCAACTTCGTGAGTGCGGGGCCTCCCGGGGCGCTGTGACTCGCGGTGCCTTCCCGGGATGATGCTCAGTTCCCAGCAGCCGCCCGGCCCTTCCTTGTGCCCTTGGGGGCACCCCGACAGCAGGGGGGGGGTGCTGGGGTTGGGACACTTTGTGCTTAAAGCAGGGGCGCTGTCCCTGCCTGTGGGCAGTTTCCCTGCACATCACTCCTGGCGAGTTCCCATCACTGGCAGAACCACCAGGCCAGTGGTGCTGCATTTTGGAGCTCAGGAGCCTGTGCCCATCCAAACCACGCTCCAGGGTGGGTCTGAGCAGGCTGGGACTGGGCATACTCTGAGGAGGCTGATGCTGTGTCCTCCCCTTGGAGAGCTGGAATGTTCCCACTGCTCCTCTGACGTGTTCAAGCCTGAGCACCTCACCCAGGAATGGCACCGATGGGGCCTGGATCGGCTGTAGAAGGCTGGATCAGCTACTTGGAGCCTCCCGGGCTGAGGAAGGGGCTCTGCCCTGCTCCCCTGGGATGTGGGGGCACTGCTGTCCCTTCCCCAGCTTGGGAGGGCGAGGCCCAGGCCAGCCAGGGGGCTGTGTCCACGGGAGCTGCAGCCCCCGCTCAGGGGTCTGACATTCCTCTCGCAGGAGCAGTTCCTGCAGGAGCGGATCAAGGTGAACGGCAAAGCGGGGAACCTGGGCGGGGGCGTGGTGACCATCGAGAGGAGCAAGAGCAAGATCACCGTCACATCGGAGGTGCCGTTCTCCAAGAGGTAAGGGAGGGGCAGCCCCAGGTCCCACCGGGCCCTTCAGGCAGTGTGGGGGTGCTCTGGGGGGCAGGAGGGGCCAGCAGGGAGGGATGTCCCAGAGCAGGGGTTGTTCCTGGCGCTCACTGTGTTGCTGCTCTTCCCAAGTGGTCTCTGAGACGGGATGTGGTCGATATTCCCGCTGGATGGCTGTTGGTGTTGGGCAGTGGGGAGGCGCTTGCAGCCACGAGGTGCTGAGCGTGGAGTTCTGGGACATCTGCAGCCAAGCCCTTCCACTCCCGGATCGTTCCCCTGGTCCTGTGGGGCTCCTGCCCTCTGCCTGCTCCTCCTGGCTACCCGTCCATAGGCTGGCACTGGCAGAGCAGGGCTGTGCCACGGCAGGGATGGCTCAGGCGGGTCAGAAGGGTGGGAAGAGCAGAGCCGGGTGGGTGGGGGGATGCCCTGCTCTGTGGGCACTTGTGCTTCTTCCAGCACCGTTGCTCCGTGTGGGTGCCACACACGGCACATCCCAGCTGCAGGTACCGCCATCCCAGCGCAGATTCCCTGTGCCACGTGGGGATACAGGGCTGGGGTCGCAGCCTCGGCAGGCCAGGGTGGGAATGATCTCCCAGGATCCACGTCATGGCAATGTGGTGTGGTTCCCTTGGCTGTGGTGTTTCCTGGCAGGAGCTTTGCCAGAAGGTGCCTGGTGGGATATGTTAGTCCCTCTGGAGGTGGGCATCCATGGGATCGGGGATTGATTTGCCAAAATGCCGTGAGGGCACAGGGGACCCACAGTCAGCCACGCATCTCCTGCAGGTACCTCAAGTACCTGACCAAGAAGTACCTGAAGAAGAACAACCTGCGGGACTGGCTGCGTGTGGTGGCCAACAGCAAGGAGAGTTATGAGCTGCGCTACTTCCAGATCAACCAGGACGAGGAGGAGGAAGAGGAGGAGGATTGAGCCCCGCCGCCGGCGGCCATTTTGTACAGTTTTGCTTTTCTGGAATAAACAGCGGCAGAGTTGTTCATACCCCGCGCTCGGTGGCGGCTGCGGGCCCGGGGGGTGGTTTTTGGGGGATTTGGGGGTTTTCGGGGAGCGGCCGGAGGGGGGGCGTGGTCAGGGACTGGGTGGGCGGGGCGATGGGCGTGTCCCGCGACAGGGGGCGGGGCCGGCTCTCGCCATCTTGGCGCGGAGCGGCCGCGCCCGGCTCGGCCCCGCGCTCGGCCCGGGGCGGGCACTGCCCGCCCGGCATGCGGGGCCCGGCCGCCGCCCGGGACCTGCTGGAGGAAGCGGACAACGAAGAAGATGTGTCGGGTAGGCGGCGGGCGGAGGGAGCGGGCGGGGCGGTGGCAGCGCTCCCGGGGCCGGTCCGGCCGTGCCGCGGACACTCCCCGTGCTCTGGACCGGCGGGGGCTGTGCCGCGCCCTCCCCAGCCCAGCCGGGATCCCCCGAGCGGTTTCAGATCTCCATCCCGGGGGTCCCTGCAGTACCCGGGGGCGGGTTGGTCCCCCGGGCTGGGCTTGATGCAGCCACGGTGCCTGCCCTGCCAGAACCTAAACTGACACGGCGAGAATCAGGGAATCATGGAATCACAGGATGGGTTGGGTTGGGAGGTACCTTCAAGCTCATCCAGTCCCACCCCCTGCCGTGGGCAGAGACACCTTCCACCAGCCCAGGTTGCTCCAAGCCCCGTCCAACCTGGCCTTGGACACTTCTAGGGATGGGGCAGCCACAGCTTCTCTGGGCAAGCTGTGCCAGGGTCTCACCAGAGTCGAGGGAGCGATTCGTCCCTGTGGCTCCAAAGTGGTGTGACTGTATAAGCTCAGAAACTGAAAATAATAAAGACACAGACCAAAAGCTGTGAGACCAAGACGTGGAGATGTGCTGGGTTTGGAGAGATAATGACAGGAAGGTACTGGGGTTGACAGCCCTGCCCAGGACGGGGTCCCTGAGCTGGCGTATGTACCTCAGCCAATGCCCACGGTGCTCCCCAGGCTTGGAGCCCCAGCAGAACAAACTGGGTGCCAGGGTGCCACAGCTCCCATCTTCCACGTGAGTCCTTCCTCTCCTCTGCTCGCTGTGTTTTCGTGGGCTCTGCCTGGAGATCTGAAAGGTAAAAGCCAAGTGTTCCCCTGTTACTGTGGGCCCAGGTCAGGAGGAGCAGGAGCAGGCAGCACATGAGGCATCCCCACGCCTGTTCCCCGAGAGCGAAGTGTGCGCTGCCCACACTTTGGGAGCTGGGTGGGAGTGGCAGGAGCAGCTGGGCACAGGAAGAGCCAGGACAGACTGCCAGGGCCCCTTGAGGGGTGGCAGCAGGGCAGCTGCTGGTGTGAGGGTCTGCAGAGGCCACAGAGCTCCGTGTCTTGCAGCCTGAAGCTGCTCAGGTGTTCTCTGTGTGGTGTCCCGTGCCTGTGCAGTCCGTCCACGTGAGTTGTCCCTTCTGTCCCCAGAAGAAGATGATGGGGTGCTGGAAGGACTGGATGAGTTTTTCGCTGAAGAGCAAGTTGTGGTGCCGAAAAAGAAG